GATCCATGCCAGGTCAGCTCTCCAGAGATAATAAATCACTTTTGAAGTGGGCATTGTTATAAAACAACCCACCTCTGGGACAGCAGCGTCCAGCTTCGAAGTCACGGTGCCACACCCTCCCTGCTGCTCTGGCACAGCTCTGCGCCTAGACCTGCAAGCCTGCCCGCATTTCCACCCCCATCTGTTCTCCACCAATAGCCGAATTTAGCCCTTTACCCTATCTGCCAAATACCTGCCGTTTTCTTTCCCAGCCTACCAGTGAGCTTCACTAATCTTCAAAAGCCTGACCTATAAGTCCTGTGACAATGGTTGCTTAAGGGGCTCGAGTTGCTCCTCAGAATGATTTGAAATTTGATGGAGTAGTCCTGAGGGTTGGGGTCCACCACGGACTCTAAAGAGGAAAAGTCTCTGGGGTGTAGATACTCTACAGTGCACAGAAGCATCTTTCACAAAGAATTGTCAGTGTTGTGTGCTTCTTTGGAGTGACCTAGTGAAAACTTACTTGTTAGTATCTAAACCCTAGACTCTAACTCCTTTTATGTATAAAGGCAGAGAGTTTTCAGCCTGGCTTAAACTTTTTTCCAGGTATGTAAAATATTATGCGTTATGTGTTTTTCAAGGTTTACTTTGTTGGTGTTTGTTTTACAGTACTAAGAACTAAACCAGGGCCTTCACACTGAAAATCTTCCCCAGCCCTTTTATTAGCATCTTGTCTGAAATAAGGTCTTTCTAAACTGCCATTGCTCAAGCAGGGCTTGAACTTGGGATCCTCCTGTCTCAGCTTCCCAGAGTCCTGGCATACAGATGTGTACCACTACGCCCAGTCAAGATGTGCTTCACTTCAATAAAACAACTTATAAATGTTCACCAGTTGGGAAGTTATAACAATGCTGGCAAACAACATCCCTCATGATAGTTGAGCCAGCATGCCAGATGCCTAAGTTGAGCTGCCTATGTAGCTACTGCATTCAAGATGATTCTTATAAGGAAGAAGACTGCTAGCACGGTGTTTACATATGGGGTTATATGTTACTTATAACGTTTCCTTTGCTTCTCTCACATTAGGGTATTATATTGATTTGCTCTAATTAGATGAATAGGAAGATTATGATATTTTGGAATTTTATTTCAGGATAGCAGAAGAGAAGAGTAAAAAATTCAAGCAGTCAGAAAGTGGGAGAGACAGACTTGAGAACACTGCCTGGTAGGAATCTCTGGGTCACATGCTCCTCATCACCTCTCTACCACCTTGGCCTCTGGGCCACCCGCCCAGGCTCTTCCCCCAGCTCAGACCTCTGCTCTTGCCATTCCTCAGCTGGGGGCTCTCATTCCACTCTATTTGTGCAGATCTGCTTCCCCCAGCACCCCTGCACATGGTCCTCCTGGCCACCACTCTTCACAACCCCTGCACCCCATCACCCTTAAAAGTCTCCTGCAGCAGTTATCACTACCTAAGTTTCTGTTGCAATATCCACTTACTTATCATCTGTCTCAGCCATGGGAAGATGTCCCCCTGTGGGAGGTGGGGCTGCCAGTCTGGATGCCAATGTCTGCAATAACAAAAAATGGCACCAAGTGACTGCCTCATGAATATTTGTGAGGGGTTTGAATTAACGCAGGAAGAGACTGCCTGGATCCCTGCTCTCCAGAAGTGAAGAGGAATCTCTGTCTTTTTCCTATCTACATAATTTATAGCCAATCTAAGTCAGCATTAATTCTTTCAAATATATCCATCAAATGCCTACCATATTTCAGGCACCGAGAACACAATAATAAATAAGACATATCTGCCCACATACTTCGCAATTAATGATCAGTTCCAGCATCTCTGAAGCATTTGAGTCCTATGGTAAAGTCACTTTCTTAAAAAAAGAAAAACACTTTTCTATTTTGTCTGCTGAATATCTTTAAGATATCATAATTATGGCATTCATAAATTAGGAGGTTTTGCTCATGCATTAAGAAGAAAATGGTTAAACAGAAGAACTTTCCATCAATGTGAAAAAGCTTTCCTGCAGGCCTATTGACATATTTCTTCAAGTTCCCAAAACATAAGCCCTCTGAGATGTAGGGCGCTAATATCTCAGTGATGTCTTAAGTCGGGTAGCCCATAGACCTCTCTGCCTACTTGGCCAAGACAAAGTGCCCCGAGGGCCATCTGCCCTCTGAAGGCTCCCACCAGCTAGAAATGCCTATTTTGTCCTCTTTGTTAGGTGTCCCAGGTCAGCCCCACCCCCTGCTGATGGATGGTCCAGGCAGCAGATGATCCATGAGACCCTCTCTTTTCCCAGGCTTTGTGGCCAAGTGCCTTTCCCACATGCTGAGCAGGGAGACCCGAGAACTAACACAGGCTGTGTACCAGTACAGGGTGGTACAATGGACTTTCTCATTCACTTTCACATTTGCAGGAAAAACAATATAACCTTCTTTCTATCAATTAACCATTTAAAGTTCAGAAGTTCAGCAGCTTAGCAAAGCTATGACTTACACCTAGATCTGTATTACCCACTTTCACTTGGCTGGGACAAAATAGCACAGAAGACAGTTTAAACAAGGAGAGGTGTTTTCTGCTCAGTCTTTAGAGAATTCAGTCCACATTCAGCTGACTCCAAGGCACAAAGGACATGGAAGAGGGGCCTGGAGGAAGAAAGCTGCTCAGCCCATGAGTCCTACCTTTCACCAGGACATTCAGCCGGGCACTCAGCCATGGGTGAATCCACTGGTGACTATGGTGACTACAGCCCCCTCAGACCCAGGCACCTTCCACACGCAGGTGACTTTGGCGGGGACATTTTAGATTTAAAAAATAATGAGTGCTTCTCATCCCAAATTAAGAAATGGAAGCGACAATTGAAAACTAGGCTTGGGAGGACTATTTGTAGGCACCATTCTCATCGCTACTGAACTTCACATGAGGAGCTGGCAACCTCACAGCCTGAGCAAACATCAACAAATTGCAGTGTTCCTCCTTGGACACACATCCAATCCTTGGTTCTCCCTTCACCAGCCCCCATGATTCCATGCAGCCCAATTCCTAAAAACTATGTAAATGTGAGCACACTTCAGAGTGGCCAGAATGAATTCACACACATATCCTGTCTTCCAGCAGTGCACCTGGAAGTGACTTCCTTCCTCTCTCAGAACTCCTGCTGAGTACCCTTTTACCCCAGTAAGAGGCAGGGAATCCAGAAAGGACCTGTGTGACAATCAGGTCACAGCCACCCTAACTCGTGCCCTCTGCCCTGCTTTACCAATGTTAATCTCTTCTTAGGTTGGAGCTTAAAGCAATAAGATAAAAAGCAGAAAAGTTAGCAAAAGAGATAAAGGCTCCAGGAAGAAATTTTAAGAAACTTTTACTCCACACCAGTATGCTCCAAAGGTTTATCCAAGGGTGTTGCTAATATCTCAATTGTCATCCCATTAACTCAGAAAGGTAAGGTTAAACTGGCTATTATTACAAGAATTTTAGGCCCAACAAGGTGTGATGCACACCTGTAATCCCAGAACTCTGATAGGTTGAGGCAGGAGGACCCCAAGTGGAGTCCAGCCTGGGCAATTTTAGCAAAATCTTTTCTCAAAACTTTTCAAGAGAGGCCTGGGGACATACATCAGTGGGAAAGCCCCTAGGTTCAATCTCAGTACAGGGGGGAAAAAAAAAGAATTAAGCTCCAACAAAGTACCATTACTTCAAAAGAATGTCAGGGTTTTTACTTCTTTAGGCAGATGCAGGTGCTGAGGGAAAGAACACCAACCTCAATCCAAAGCACCAACCTCAGTCTGCCCAGTCAACTCCCCACACAGCATGGCTCAATTAAAGCAGGTGGATCCTGCCACCTCCCACCTCAACTTCCTTGGATGGTAGGGTATAGCTGTGTCCTCTCGTCCCCAAGCTGGCGTCCCAGGTGGGAGAGCTGCTGACTCTCTCCAGCAGTCAGAGAAATTTGTGTTCTCAGGTTTCCTGGGTTCACCTGAGGTGGAGGTCAGATCTTGGCAGTGGCAGGTCTTTTGGGCCAATAGGCGAGAAGCGGCAAAGTGCAAGGCAGAGAGGGAGCCCAGCTCAAAATAGAAACTCATGCAAACCCCCCCTCCCCCCGCGCCCATCTTACCAAGCTCCCAAAGTGGCTGGATGTGGCTCAGGACAGAGACAGTGAGAAATAGCACCAGTTAATGCAGGGTGAGAATACAGCGAAAACATGACTTGTTTGACTATTATAAAAATAATATTCACCTCTGACCCTCAGGAGTCACCCTGCAAACAAGAAGGGTGCAACAAATTTCATAAGCGTATTTAAGTGTAAAACCTTTAACTTCTGAGGAACAAGTGCATCCAGCTTACTTCTGGTGATGAGTGTGTTACAGCACAGTTTATTCCACTGAGACAAAGGGCAATGAGTTAATATATTTCATGGTACAGGATAGAAAGTAAGTGAAGAGTTTCAGACCAAAAAGCCATGGGAATGCAGAAGTATAATGGACAGCAATAGTACAAGAAGTTATTCTCTGCCTAACCCCAACGTCTCCTGACCCAAAAAGCAGCACCCCGGTAAGGTGAGTATTACCTTGCAGGACAACTGGACATTTTTCCCTCGGAATATGGAACTCACATCTTGGTCACTTTATGAATAATTGTCCATTAGGAAACAGAGAATTCAAAAGCTAGCAGAGATGCAGCAGACATCTGAGCCTGCAGTAGACAATAAAAATCAGAAAAGGAAGAGCAGGGAAAGAATAAAGACGGAGGAAAGGAAAAAGGAGAGGAGGTAGGGGGTTCCCAAGGATATGGCTTTTCTTTTTCTATCCATAGCCTCTAGGGAGGAACACATACCATTATCAACCTATTATGACAGCATTGAAAATAAAAGAGGCACCTGCCAGGTGACCATCTCTGCCGGGACTCGAACCCGGAACCTCTGGATTAGAAGTCCAGCGCGCTCGTCCATTGCGCCACAGAGACCTCACCACACACACAGCATCAGCACCAGAACTGAAAAAGCACATACCTTCTGCATCACCGAACCATCTCAGCATCCTGCTCTCTGAGCGGTGGGGGGACAGGGACAGCTGGAAAATCTGGAGTGGAGATTCACCAGCCGGCTCCTACAAAGCTTCTCTCAATACCGTGGATCCCAGGATTTTCAGAGGATTGGAGGAACGTGACAGTGGTCATTTTCCCAGCCCCTGAGTCCCAGAGAGAGGACAGAGCTGGAACCTTGCCTCTTCTTTCCTCTCCATCCCTAAGGGAGGGTAAGGGACAGTCTATTCTCATGCAAATGAAGCAGAGCACACCCAGCCTAGCCGACACAGGGAAGCCATCTCTCTCTCCACCCCCATTCCGTCGCTGTGGTTCCATCCCAGGGCAGCTATTCTCAGACAGGGGCTGGGCAAAGCCGGGGATTCAGGAAAAACCCTCGATCCCAGGGACAAAGGAGCTGCTTCTGCAAGGGAACACCGAACAGCGGCAGACAGTGGCCGGAAGCTCGGCTCCAGGAGCTTGTCCGTTCTCGGCGTTAGGAATTGTTATCTGTCAGGCCAAGAAGAGCAACCCAGACTCCAGGCTCCATGGATGTTCCTTCAGCACCTCCGCTAGAATTTGGGATAGAAGTGGACCCAGAGCAGGAGAGAGACAGAGACAGAGACAGAGAGAGACAGAGACAGAGACAGAGACAGAGACAGAGACAGAGAGACAGAGAGAGACAGAGAGAGGGAGACAGAGAGAGAGAGAATGAAGGTGTGTGTACATGGGGGCGGGGGAGGAGGCAGTGGCTCTGGGATGAAGCAAGGTGCCCTCTCACAGCGCAGGCCCCCTAACCTGGGTCCCTTTCATCCACCTTCTCTAGCCCCAGTCCCAGACCCTGCTGCTCTTTGCTCTTCTCAGGGCTGTCTAATTCCGATTTCTCAGGCTTCTGGACTTGTGATAGCCATCCTAGTAAAATTAAATCGGCCATCCCCACACAATCATTTATAAAGAACTTTACATCCAGCTCAGATCCTAGACAATGTTTCCTACTTTTAAAAGCCTCCCAGAGAACACAGTTCCAAAGCCACTGCTGGGCCAGTTCTTCTGCAAGTCTAACCCAAGTCCTTCTTACCTTACCTTTGGTTCATTTTCTCTTAATAGGTTCCCAGACACATTGGGATAACTGACTTCCATGCTACCATTACCAGTGACAATGGACTTCATTCAGTGTTTACTGCCCCACTCCCACTCAGAAGTTTACAATACAGCCGAGAGCTGACTAGCCTCTCCTCTTCCTTGTTCTGTTTCCAGAGCCCACAACTTTGAATACTGCCAGCAGATTCCAGTCATAATCCAAGGCCTAGGTGGTGCACAAGCAGTGATATAACAGGACTCCATGAAATGCTTGGATGGGGAGGACCCTTCTAACTCTAAGGTTATGGCTGTACTGTACATTCCCCTACCTATTCCTATAGCCCCAGCATGTGACCTGCAAAGACAATGACCAAGGTAATTCATTCAAGTGCAAGCAGGAAACTACCACCAGGAGAACAGTGCCTCCTTCCGCCAAGCTTGCCTCCCCCAGGAGCTCAGGAGAATCAACCCAGTCTGTGTATTCCAACCTTAAATAAGCAGGCATGTAATAGGTCTTTCTTAACTCATTGCCCCAAACAATTTCAAGAACTCGAAACTTAGAACTAAACACGAGTCAGAGATCATTCTGATCTGCACGGCTGCTGACAAGAAGCAGGTCCAAGCCCAATGCATCTGTAAAGGACAGGCCAATTCCAAAGGCCAAGAAAGAGTCACTGATGCAAAGGAGAGACAATGCTAGACTCTCAGGATGCTTCTCACCAAGCTGTGTGAATTTACACACATGCATGCACACACACAGCTCACAACTTTTGCTCTTCACAGAGACTGTCCTATGCCCAAGAAATCTATCAGTCGTTTAGCTGTGCCCAAAGCTTTATGCCTCTTGGATCACGGGCTCTCCACACCCTGAAGGCAGAGGCCCACTTCTCCAGCTCTCTCCAGGAGCTTCATTCCTAGGTATTCAGTTTTCTCAGTCAGTGCTGGGGTATCACATAAAGGAATAAATAATGGCCTGGTCTCACCCTCTAAGAGCCATAAGTAAATTCCAGTATAAAAGGACTCTGAAAGATATATGAGAGAAAAGAAAGACTCAATAGATTGTCCCGCAAATAAGGTGTCAGGTTTCCAAGTCCAAACAAAGACCACAACTCTGGAAGCACAAAGATCCAGCATCAATAGTGAGCTGCCTGGCTTATGGGCTTGGAGGCACTGAGCAAAGTAGTTAACTCCTCTGATGTTGTATTTCCTCATTATAAGCCAGGCAATAGCAGATGCCACTGATAAAGACTAGCTGAGATGTCATGGGGCAAAGTGTTTGTCCCCTTCTTTCTTTAGTCTATAAGTTAGAATTTTTAACCATATCTCCTGGGTCACTTCCTTCCCTTTGAATGACCTTCCTTCAGTTTCCTCTCACGATCCCACAGAAATCCCTCCATTTGATCAAAAAAACATGTGCTGCCAACAAATCTTTCCAGAACTCCTTATACTTACAATCTGCTTCAACAAAAATTCTTTGGACTTGATCTCTCTGACATCTCTTTTGTTTCAGCATCCATAAATCAAACGTGCTTCTTGACAGTGTGAATAATATCCCATAACTAGACTTTCCTTTTAAAAATAAGGAGGGAGACACATTAAGCTATGACTTTCAAGGGGCAGGAAAGACAAGGTTAATCCAGTCAACATGGCTGAAGACAGTATATCTTTTTCTTCTTTTAAACTAGGTACATGTCATTCCTGTTTATGTAAACCCTTAAGAGAATAAGTACATTTCCTTTCCAAAAAATGTGTACTGATTTAATTCTCCAAAGATCTGTGAGTCAAGCATTACTCATGCCTCTAATTGAATATCATTCTGTGACCCTACAGTCAAGCTGAGGATGCTCATACATTATTTCATTTATAAAGTGTTGCTGGGATATATATGATAAATGCCCAAAAAACATTTCCCCTTTGGTCCAGAAACAAATAAAATTAAATCCCACATCCTACAGTGGTTTTGCACTTTCCTGAAGGTACCTATCCCCAGTGGTCCATACTTTAAATACTAAGGGAGAACACTGGGATAAGACAGTGACATAATTATTTGTGTAGTGCAGCTCTTAGATGCTGTACCTCCATCTCCCAGCCCCTACAACACCCCCAGACTGTATCACTTGATATTTAACATGGGTGTACACACCCTCTTTGGTGGTTTCCACATGGCATTGCTTCATAACCCAGCTAGTCTGTGTCCCTCTTACTGCTGACCTCCTAGAAGTTACCCCTCCTCGTTGCTCCTGTAGGCACTACATCAGAAGGCTGGAAAAGGTACTGTACTTTGCTGCGGAGACCCCTGATTCTAGGCCTGCTCTACAGACTTTCAGGTGATGAGTTCATAACCACTGACCCTTGAAGGAAGAGTAAAACAGGCACACATATGACACAAAGGCTCCTCTTTCCTAGACAATCCCATCCCAAAGAATCCTGTCCCATATGTCATGTTCATTTGTCTATTCCTCCGACACATCTCTGTACTCATCACAATGAAGCATTTCTGTTCCCAAAGCCTCCTATTTACAGCTTTCTTTAATCTTTGAGGCTGACCACAGATAGTTTGATCCTTCTCTATATCCCTTTGCCCATTCTCTGAGGAAGGGGTGAGATCATCCAGGTAATAATTAAACTTCAGAGTCAATCATAAGGAAGTCAAATGCAGGCTGAATTTTCCTTGACTCATTATATCCAACTTTGAGAAACCATCTAGATCTGTCCAAGTCCAAATGAGCTATGCAGCCTCTCAACCTTTCCAAAAGCCAATTTGGAAACAAACTCTCTTGACAATGTGCTAGAGCTAGTCAAGGTCACAGTGGAGACTCCATAGGGATCAACCCACACTCATTGACGTCCACGGAATGGTCTTCTCCAGATTTCCTTTCTCCTACTCCTGCCATCATTCTCCAGGAAACATTCCAGAATATTCTAGAAAGTAAGTCTCTATAGGAATTCTCTCTTTGGTCAAGAAGGATGAGGAAGCTAGTGACTTTTTACAAATGGAAGAGCAGTGGTTGTGATGTTCTACCAAGTCTCTCTGAGAATTTGCAGAAACTCTCTCTGCTTCACCCAAACTTCCTATTCAGAATGAGAGCTCTCCACATCTCTGTTTCTAACCCCAATCCAAGACTTCTCTGGGTGTTCAGGTCCTCAGTCCTACTGTCTTACAGCTGGCTCTTGCTGGTCACAGGAATTTCTTCTACCTCAGGATACATAAACCATATGTTGGTAAGATCTTCCTTTCATCCCTGTTCACACTTCACTCATTCATATCCATTTCTCTATCCCCACATTCTGCAGGTAGCATTCCCTAATTCTTTCTGCCTCTAGACACTCCTTTTAACATTCAATTTCTTGCCTCTATTCCCTCTGTACTCATTTGCCTTAAGACCCATCCACATCAAACATTTTTGTCTAAACCACTGTTTCTTGCTACCATCCTTTTCTATTTCTTCCCTTGCCTCTAACCCATAATTCCTAAGGCTCATGTGTTTCCTAGGCCTGTGGACTCCTCTTTCATTATACCCTACTGCATGAACCCAGAGCTGTAGTTACTTCCACCTTTCATCCTCAGGCCTGCTTTTCCCTTCCTCCAGATTTCATGCTCCAGATTTCCTTATTCCTCCTCCACCCTTTTAGTTCTGGTTGCTTCTCCATTTTAAGTCTCCACTCTGTAGCACCTGTTTTTCTAAATCTCTTTCCACTCAGTCTGTGGGGTATCTGATTTCTCCAGCTTGTGCAGAATGACTTTCTGTGTTTATCTCCAGACGCCTAAGGCTCTGCCTGAATCTACAACACACCTGTATCTACTTAGCTTCTTGTCTATGACTCTGTGCCACAGGCTTCTAAGCTGGGGAACCCTGAGGGGGGCCCTGCTAGTCCCCATAGCAGCAAATCACCATGGGGATAGGTTGGCAAATAGTCAGGGTCCTTACTCTCCACAGTCACTATGGGACCTTAGACCTTAAATGGCCAGCTATTCTAGGATATGGGGGGAAAAAAAAAAAAAAGATCCTTAAAGAGCTAAAAAAAATTTTTTTTAAGTACTGGCTTTGCCTAATAGTATGAGTAAAATGGGCTTTGCCCACCACAGCTCTACTCATACTCAGCCTGGAATGAGTCTTGAGATGAACACAGTGAAATAGACTCCACAATGGCAGCAAACGAAAGG